ACACACACACACACACACACACACACACACACACACACACACACACACACATAACATACGTACACGATACTCACGATGCCTCACGTTTTACTTTGACATTTTGTATTTAAAGACCTTGAAAAACACAAAACAGCAAGACAGGAAACTTTCTATTTTCTTTTTATTTCAATACCTAAATCGAATTATAGATCAGACAGGAGCAAACACTAACTTCACAACCTGGCAACACTGAACATGTACACTAGTCAGTAATCATTGATCACACATGTTATTAAAATATAAATAATATTTGAAACTATGGATACTATTAATATATACAACAGCACTACCATTTTCACACACAAACAAGGATCATTAAAGAAGCAGACACTGTGACATAATCATTCAGACACAGAGTAGTCTACGTTGAAAATCTCTCACCGCAATCTTTATCATTTATGTCATTCTTATGACACGTATTGATATTTGGCGATGTTTGTATATTTGTCATTTCAAACTGTATACAACAACATAACAGGGTTTAACAGGGTAAAACACAGGTACTACATAATAGCGAATATTTGGTATATAGGTATATTATGATAAAAGCGGCTGCCTTTACACGGAAACTGATTTGTTCGTTTTAACGAAGGAAGCAACGAGACAGCCTACGGGCATACGAGGCTTTGTTTTATTGCTTATAATACAAAACTAAAGTAAAGTAATTGTACGCATGCTTTGGGCATTTTTTACAACACAAAAAGTAGTTTTTCACGTCTCTATAGACACAATTCATATAATTAAGGAGGCTGGCTTCGGTCCCGCCTAAAAGGACCAACTCGAGCTGAAAGGGATGCAACGTCCCAGCTGAGAGAAGGATATGCTCGATAAAAATTCTCCCCACACGAAAATTGAACTCAAGTCTTCTGCGTGCTACGACTAAGGCCTAACCGCTATACCACAAACGATCAAAATTCCTGCGTTGGCTGTTTACAAGTAACATAATCGTTGGTGCTCTCCCTATAAACACATGTACTGCATTTTCAAAACATTAATCAAAATAAATTTGTCTCTGGACGCAGTAGTGCCCAGTGCAGAGCACTGAAACGCTTGAAAAATGAACTTACTTATACTTCTATGTGAGAAAAGGCTCAAATAATGGGTTCAATTTATGGCAAGCTGGAATTCAATGAAAGATTTGACATTTTCCAAATGCAGAGGCACGAAAGCGGGTCCGAGTTCGTTCTAAATGATTTTCCGAACCTCTGGTATCCTAGTAGTATCGAAAATGAGCAAATTAGAGGCAATGGCACGTAGAATGCTAAATTTTGCAGCACAATAATACAACACGACAAAATAAGAAAAACAATCGTAGGACTGAAGAAAGGCGGCTAAAAAAAGTTTTTGAACGTTGTTTAATTATAATCTCGACAGATTTACCTCGCTATTTGCTTGTTTATTTTCATACATACTTTTGGGGGAAGGGATATAATATGTTCTCTTCGGAGTTCAATAAATGAGAAACTTGCGAATTATTCACTTTCGGTTGATTTTGATACGGGCAGGCTTTATGTGATGGAAGGTGACCCTTTTTTAAAAAGAAATTGAGAAATCCTGAACAAGAAGAATACCAAGCAAAATGCTACCAGAATGCTTACGGAATAAAATGAATATCAGAAAGCTTTCAAACCACTTGCCTACATTAGTTACCACTTTATTGTAAACATTCCATACTCCCATCGGCTTTGAAAACTAAACTTATGTCTTTCGCGTGCAACGGTGAAGAGCCTAACCATTCCATCACAGATGCCGATATATTATGCTGGTCAAGAGCAATCAAAAAATAAATTAATCGTCCTTGAACACCACTGGACATGGCTCCTGCCCATGACACAACACAGTGTCCCCCACTTCTTACCAAGGACGGAATGCTTTAGACAATATCACAAATGAAGAGGATTGTCTAGAAAATAACAAACACATGCAAAATTACAGCATTTCAACAACAACAAATTCGTTTCCCCAAAATATGTGATCATCATATCTTTATATTCACTTTGAAAATAGACACCAAACTATCAACACCAATAACTACAAACATGTACCTATTTCAAACAATGCCAATCCTCACACTCAAGAAAAAACTATAAAAGACAATCACATCGCAGTCTGAGATAAAGACAAGCGCGTCTACACAACGGGTACGAAAAAACCCAAACAAAAACAAAAACAAAAAAGAAGCTGACAGGTTCGATAGAAACAAAAGAGAAGACGTGAGGACGTGGTACTGAACCTTTAAGTGGCATCCTCTCATCAACAGGGACCACATGTTATATCGTAACAGACACGATTAAAAAAAAAAAAGTAAATATCTCAGATCTAAGTATTAACAGGAACTTGTTAGTTTTTCAGAATATCCAAAAATCTTGGAAACGCAAAAAATAAACCTAAGATAACAGAACTGTACTGTGAAACAGCGTTAACATGGTTCTGCTCTAGACTAGAGAAAGAACAGTGGACAAAAGAGGAGGTTTAACCATAGTGTGACATAATATTAGGAATCTAATCATAATATATTTCCAAAAAGGCAAGAAATTGATGAGAGCCATTTAATAGATACAAATTGTACACCAGCTAGATATTTTTTTAACAAGTCACTCGAAGTTAGAACCGCAGATAATGACACACGCACTGCGACGCTGGAAGAATTCAGGCAGATCGGATCTACGTCACCAGAATGAGAGCACAGTAAGTGTGCCAGTTTTCTCCGGAGAGGCGGTGATCAGTTTTGTATTTCCTACCCACATCAGGTGCAGCTTGGAGGGATGTCTGTGTAGAACTGTCAGCTTCTTCTGGGCCTGGGGAGCATGTCACGAACATGGGTAAGATAGATACATAGATAGATAGACAGACAGACAAACAGACAGACAGACAGATAGATAGATAGATAGATAGATAGATAGATAGATAGATAGAAAGATAGATAGATAGATAGATGG